CAGTATTTACACAATATATATATATATACTTAATTAAATTATTTTTACTTTAAAAAACTTGGACTTTTATATGTCGTGATGTATTCAATTACCAATATTCCATATTGTAGAGATAATTAGTTCGTGTGAGTTCTGGTCAGTTCTGGTCAGATTATCATTTTTGAATGAATGGTCAACATGACTTTATTTATTACTTATGTTTGTCAAATAAAACGTAGCAGTCTGTACGGGCTATTTGTGAATATAATATGGCGTATTTACGGGAGTGGGGCAGCAAAAGTGAGTTACACCAGATAATTCCACTTTTGTTTCTTTTTCTGTTATTCAGGCTTTGTGTTGTTCTCAGTAATTTAAAATTACATTATATAACTTGCGTATACACGGGAATTAATTGTACCGTTTTCAGTGGCGGATTAAAAGTGTGGGGCCTAAATATTTTAAAATTTAAAAAAAATGAAGAAAGAAAATTATATATAAGAGGTACATTACCATACATTTTCTTAGCCCCCAACCATAAGGTGGGTGGGGGAGGGGCTAAAGCGGTTCCTAGACTCTCCATCTGTGAAAGTCCCTCTATAAGCCCCCTCTATTTCAAATTCATGGATCTGCCGCTGGTTGTATGCGGGTGCAGCTCTCTTGAAGACATCCTGGTTGGATGGCTTTGATGAGGTCTTCCTTCCTATGGCTTGGGGGAATGTGCTTGATGTTGGAGGTTGGTTGTTCAGTTTTATATTAATACTCCTCTTGGCTTCCTCTGAGGGTGTTTTAATATATTTCGTAAGTGCTGGTGTTCAAGTTTAAGTTGACATATAGGTCGTAACCGATTTTCTTTTGGATTGAAATACTTTCATAAAGCTGAGTGTTTGGAATATTTTGTGGTTTATTTTCTTGTTGCGTCAGGTCACTGCCTGAAAAGATATTTTGAGGACTGCTATAATTGTCTGATCAATGCCGTGTATAAAAACCAATGACATCTGACATACTACCTACACACTGCAATCGAAATGGAGTTAAATTCAAATTCAGAGAGTAAATTCAGATTCAGATTTCATTTACTCCTATATAAACGCATCGAAGCTTCGGTAGTTTATATAGTTCGGTATTAACATTATTATAAGGCAAGTAATCGTGAAATACTGTACTTATAAACTTAATGAATTGGTTTTTTATTTCTTTTTAAATTTTCATGTTCATTTAAAATTATTGTAGACGAAATTACTGATGGATTAACTAAATAAATAATAATCTTCCAGTTCACCATCATATATATATTTATCTGATAAAAATTGTAATGTTTTGGTCCAAGCTACAGTAAGCTATGGTGATCAATATCTAAATGCCCTTGTTTATAATGTTTATATTGTTTATATTGTTTATTTTTTTCATAATTTCAAAGTTTCAATCTTTTTTGTTCTGTTTTGTGTGTTTTTTTTTAATCGAATTATTGAAATGTATTTTAAAATTTTGAAGTGTTTTCCTTTTTCATCTTGAACTTTTTATTGAACAGTTTAATATTTTAATGTTTTCCGTAAGTGCAATAGATATAATATAGATATAACTTAATGTTTTTGTAAGTGCAATTGATGTTTCATAATATTTTAGTTTTTTGTATTATAATATTTACAATAATGTAGTAATAATGTAATTTTTTTTAATTGTTTACTTGTTGTTTGTATTAATAATATTTACAATAATGTAGTAATAATGTAATTTTTTTAAATTGTATACTTGCTTAGTTTCTTTTTTTGTAATTATCATCTCAATTAATTTTACTATGCCACGATGATTTAATAAAATATACCAGAATATAAGTTTGACCCTGATAGCTATTACCAATCTTGAGTTATAAGCTTCCGAAGTTGAAGTAAATTGCGTTTGCTCATCTTGAAGAACCACGCCCCTTTTTTGAGGAGTCAATATCTTGGAAACTATCCTATAAGGCTAATTTTTTTTTTTTTAGTTTAGCATATAGTAGATTATTTTTATGGAGTATGAAAATCTGAGACAATCATACAGGATTTTTTTTAAAATCTGGTTAATTTGACATGGAATGACCTTACAATAGGTCAAAGGTGAGAATGTACCGTTTCGTCACTATTTTTTTCCTTAAGACGAATATAAACATGAATCTCCTGAACACTTTGCAATCAATTGTGAGTGTCTGTGACCAGTAGTTACCGAGATATGACAATACAAGGTCAAAGGTCAAACTTTAAAAAATCGCATTTTCCGCCATTTTGTGATAAAAAGTTGTATTTACAACAAATAGGAATATGCATATTGTGTACAATTTGAGACCAGAATTAAGTCTATCTGACCAGTGGTTATCGAGATACAAGCGTCCAAATCAACAGACGGCCATTTTGAAAAACTCCCCCAAACGGGAATTTCCCCCCCCCCCAATATCTGGGAGGTATATAGGAGCTACATTTTATCTAAATTGGTCCATCTTGCCAAATCCATCGAGAAAAAAAGGTATCCTAAAATTAGTCACGGATCTCATGAAAATGACTCTACTATCAAGACTTGTTTATTTTCCCCGCGACGAGGGACACGATCGTGCATGCGCTAGCGATCGTCATAAGAATAGCATTGGGAACTGTCTTCACGACTCTCGTAAAAATAGTCACTTCGTAAAACGCAATTTCATATTCATAACTCATACCGCCTCCACGCCTCATATATTTGGTAGAAGGAGAGAGTGGGTGGGTGAACGTCGTGAAAGGGTTTTTGAAATTCAACATGTAGATTCCGCTACGCTAGCCACAGCACAGTGGTTTCAATCTACCAATCACAATAACAATGATGTCCATCGCTGAAGCCTGAATTTACAGACATCACCCTATATAAGAGTTTAAGATCATGATGTACAGTACAGTATTTGGCTTTTGTTGATAGCAGAGGCTTCGAGGGTGTTCTTTTTTCAGTGACAGGACCAACTACAATATCCCTTTCTAA